TAACTACCTCAGTAACTGACTGTGAACAGTTTAGTAACGGGAACACTTTGGTCTCTCCCAGTAATACAGTAACTCCTTCAGTAACTGACTGTGAACAGTTTAGTAACGAGAACACTTTGGTCTCTCCTAGTAATACAGTAACTCCTTCAGTAACTGACTGTGAACAGTTTAGTAACGAGAACACTCTGGTCTCTCCCAGTAATACAGTAACTCCTTCAGTAACTGACTGTGAACAGTTTAGTAACGAGAACCATTTGGTCTCTCCCAGTAATACAGTAACTACCTCAGTAACTGACTGTGAACAGTTTAGTAACGAGAACCATTTGGTCTCTCCCAGTAATACAGTGACTACTCCAGTAACTGACTGTGAACAGTTTAGTAACGAGAACCATTTGGTCTCTCCCAGTAATACAGTAACTACCTCAGTAACTGACTGTGAACAGTTTAGTAACGAGAACCATTTGGTCTCTCCCAGTAATACAGTAACTCCTTTAGTAACTCACTGTAACTTCCTAGAAGCATCCTGGACCCTTAGAGAAAAAAAAAAGGGGGGGGGGGGGTGGGGGAGCTCATAAAAACATTCTGGAAATATGCCCAAGGCTTATTGGCAGTCGAGGCAGTAGTAGATCAACCTGATGAACTTGCCACGAATCGTGACATTCATATTTATGAAGGAACCCCATCGCCTACCCTGCTTGGCATCGGTATTTACCTGACATACGTTTGGTAGCCATAGACTTAATTCAGATCACAACTCGCCAGTATTTTTATGTGAATGTATCACCCATGTGTGGTTTAAAAAAAAAAAAGTTAGGTTTCACCTTTTTGTTTTTTAGGTCGATAGTATTGTTGTATTGTGCTATAGGGAGGCAGGAAAAAAAAAGGAAAAAGGGGGGGGGGGGGGGGGAGTTAGAGACCATGACGATGGCGAGTATGATGAGCAAGACGTCTCGCAGAATGAAGGGTCTTCCACGGATAAAGTGTGGCATTTTAGAACCACCAATACAAGTTGGGACAACGGCAGAGAGGGGCGTTAAACGTAATGTACGCTCTATACAAGGCCTATCAGAAATAAATACAGACAGACAGGCAGGCAGACAGACAGACAGACAGACAGGCAGGCAGGCAGGCAGGCAGGCAGACAGACAGACAGACAAGCATCACACAGAAGGGGAGTATGTGCAAAATTTGAGTCTAATAGCTCATCAAGAAATAGTGTAAACTTCTGACCAAATGTTTATCTCAGGCGTACGTTCAAATTTACAAAAACGAACTAACAGCTTTTCACAAGTCGCGACGGAATAAAATTATTGAAATAATAACTTGTGAGGTTTTGAAAAGTCATTTCTTGGAAACATCACAGATTTAATAAGCCGCAAAACTTGAAATAAAAGATGCTATCTTCACACTTGCTTGAAACCAGGGCAAATAAACGAGGTTCCACGAATCTAGAAAACATTGCATGGCCATGTTTACTCGAGTCCTGTACACGTCATTGACAGAGCCCCGTTATTAGTGAGCTGTCATTGGCTGGCCACTTGTGTCACGTGTGTGTGACAGGTATCCCAGCAGTGCAGGAGTGGTTGTCACTGGCTGATATTGTCACGTGGTACAAGGCAGCGGTTTTTAAAAGGGTTCACATATAGATAGATCACATAGTTGTCTTGTCATCCCTTTTAGAGATGCAGTTTTTCGTTATTTGAAGCCCTACTCTGGCTCTTGCCAGGGGCCGCAGTATAGCCCGGTCATACATGTGGCCCAACGACTGAACGCGGTTTCTAGGACCTCTCCATGGGTGATCCTCATCCGCATGGTGGCACTTTGTATCATCGAGTGTTGATCGCTTGTGTGATGTCCTGGTGAGGTAAAAAAAAAAGATAGATAGATAAGATAGATATATCACTAATGTAAAAAAAAAAAAAAATCAGATAATTTGAATGTCACAGTGTTTGTAAAACAAACGTGTAACAGTTGACACAACAAGAGCACTTTTCAGAATTTTTTTTTTTTTAAAAGCAACACTGTTACCAGTGCCCAAACATTGATATTAAAAGCAAAAAAAAGAGGGAATAAAAAAGGAAGTAACAGAAATGAAATGTTTTTTAAGAATCCTGAATTTAACTAGAAAAGATAGGTTCAGGAACATCAGAAAAATAAGCTGGTGCGAAACCAGTTCTAAATTACCAGAGACAACAGATCGAATGGTTTGGACATATGTCCTTGTGGCTTTAGAAGTTGTCAGTCCTGAAGGTAAGGTGACGGCAGTCAGTTTTATGGTGTCAAAGAATCGATCCCCGCGCTTCTAGGGGAACCAGTAAAGAGCCTTGGCGGCGTCTCGATTCGAAGCTATCTAATAGAGCGGAAGTCCGGCGCATACATGAGCCACTGGCTACAGGCCTGCTCGCGATCGAGCGTTGCAGGTTGATCGGGAAGTTTAAGATCTGGTGTCTGGCCGCTGTTAGTGTACAGAGTTAGCATGAGTGCAGTGGAGACTATGGAGAGGTAAATAACACAGGCGTGAGGAAATGGCTTGGGGCACCGCCTTGTATGACCGATGTGGCTCTGTATTGTAAGCAGGCTAAGCTGGTACTTCCGTACAAATCAGTAACCAAAGAGTTTAAAGTCCGCAAAGTAAGACTTACGATGAGGCTGCGCGAGTCTTCAGACCCCCCGGTGGCAGCTCTCCAGCCCACTCTAAAAACAGTAAAGAAATGGAAAGTCCTAGATGCGATATAATCTGCCCAAGATGCACTGACATTGAAGGAAGTCATGGGGTACAGACAAACAGATCGACGTGGCCTAGGGCACAGGAAAGATGGTCCAAAGAAGCGCCGAGACATAGTAAAACAGCATATAAGGGACGCCGAAAACGAGACTGGTCCAAAAAGCAGCCCAGCGGTCGCAGCAAAGCCAGTGGATCAGCCTCGAGAGTGCCTTGCCGGGAATACTCACATGGGGTGAGATTTGGCGAATGGCCCCGCTGCGGCTGAGATTTATCGTAAGATCTGCGTACAATGTGTTACCGTCTAGCGTCAACCTAGTGAAATGGCATGCGAAAACCGACCCGACTTGCCAACTTTGCAGTGAAAAGCAGATACTCGAGCACGTATTGTCCGCTTGCAGAAAAGCCACAATAAAGTCTTAAAAGAGTTAGCTGACATTGTGGACCAAGCTAGGATGAGGGCCAATGCTAGGGCCAGTCACGTCGTCACCCCCAAGGTCTTACTCAAATTTGGGCAGATTTAAAAAGGTAAAATCAACAAGGTCGCATACGCTCCACGAGTACCTGAATACCTGGTTTCGAGAGGCACCCAGAGTTAATCCGGAAATTCAGCCTGAGACCTGACATAGTCCCAAACTGTACGGAGAAAAACGCCAGCTCATCCTGATTGAGTGCCGTATGAGTCGCGAATGGACGAAAACCACATGTACAAGCTCGAGAAGTGCGGGGATCTCGTGGCCAGTGTAGGAGAGACGACACGTACTCAGTAAAAATCTTCGCTGTCTAGGTAGGCGCAAGAGGTCTTATCTCCACTTCCATATAGTTAGTTGCGTATCCTTTACAGGACGTTGCAGAACTAACCCTAACAGCCACTGGCTGTTGTGTGGTTTCTCTAGGCAAGTTACATCCAGTAGTTTGCCATTGCTTTCTGGACGGTCGGCTTTCTTGATACCACTGTCGAACCACTTCCATATACAATGTGCTAAAGCAGCTGGGCTTGTGAGGAAACGAGCATAAACGGCCACTAAAACAAGCGGGCGAAGCTGCTTGAAAAGCTTCGATCTGGCTCTGGACGCAACGGAACACCGTGAGGGATGGGCCTCGGTAAACTGATCTGTCCCAGAATGATAGAAGATTCTTATCCGTTTAAAAGCCAAAGTGTCCGAATATGTCTGCCAGTGTACCTCTACTAATTGCCAAAGTATAACACGTGTCCGATGAACCAGCCGTAGGTTTATCACTTGGTCGGCATGTCTAATTGGCTACCGCAGCGACAATAAATATCATTAACTTCGAATCTCACAGTACCCGATGCATAGTCACCATTTCATCTTGTCCCTGTCCGAGAACATCCGGTAAAGTGCAGCAGGAAAAGATTGAGGCCTGGGGGTCATGACCCAGGTTAGCCCACCCTCTGAAATTGTCTAGAAAGTTATGGGCCGAAACAATTGTCAAAGAGGGATCTTCTGCTGATGATACTGCTGTACATGCTTCACTGTGGAGTTCTTCTTATAGACACAATTAATCATCTCTCTATAACACAGGCGTTACACTGCCTAATAACACTCGAATTATGATTACCGTCAATCTAGCACGTGATCACACACTAACCGTCGCAAACAGGCAGACGCCTAACGAGCAAAACACCACATGTCTCCGTCCAAGTCTCTCTGACAAAACTCTTTGCTCTGTTCGTTTTTGTCCTGTCTACCGTTCACCACTGGGTCAGTCTGATCTCCATAAATCCTGGAGTGTTCACTCGTTTGTCACGATATCCTTCCTATTCAGGAACTCTCGTGGTTTGCTCAAAGCTTTTTCTCTGGGCGCTCCTCTAGGTGCTACTGGGTCATTGATTAATATCACCTACATACCGTCCCATAGCCATACCGGCTCTTGACAGATAACCTGTCTCATCTGTAGTGAAAAACTGTGCTTATGCAACTCACGGGAGGCTAATGCTAGAGAAGACTACCTCAGTTTTTTTGAAAAGTTAACTCCGTTACTCAGTTAACTGTGAGCATTCCTTTCCCAATTCCTGTCTGCCTGTCTAGTACAGTGTCTGTCCACTGTCTGTCTCATATGTCTGCACATTTTCTACAAGACAGTACCAACACCTATATGTGTTTATATATATATGTGTGTGTGTATATATATATATATATATATATATATATATATATATATATATATATATATATATATATATATATATGTGTGTGTGTGTGTGTGTGTGAAAAAAAAAAATAATAAAAAAAAAAAACCTTTGCTGTTCCTACAGTCCGACGTATCGCACCAAAGTTCACAAGAGCTCCAGAGGATGTCAAGATCATGCCAAATAGCGATGTGAACCTGACCTGCGTGGCTGTGGGATCCCCCATGCCCTACGTCAAGTGGCGGGAGGGCGCCCAGGACCTGACGGGAGACGACAACATCCCCATCGGAAAGAACACCTTGATGCTGACGGGCGTGCAGATGTCGAAGAACTACACCTGCGAGGCTTCCTCTGATCTTGGCAACATCGAACATCACGTACAGGTCATTGTAGAAGGTGAGTACCGTGCGTGCCGGTGTGCTCATGTAGAATATGTGTAACAGGTAAGTATCACAGGTGTTTTGTACATCCCCGTGCAGTTATTAATTGCGAGAATGACAGGTGTCTGTATTGTAAAAAGAGTACAGTCGACACAAAGCCACCCTCGCTTCGGAGCTGTAGTCATGTCGTGGCCAACGGTCCGTGTTTGTCTTTTATGATATACAGGGTATATTCATCATCATCATCCTCCTCGTCATCATCATCATCGTGCCATATTTCCCATTATACAGAAGACGATGAAGAAGAATGCTAGATACCGGCAGCCTGTATGGTAGAGTCACGACAATATTCTGGCTACACAGATGTCTTCTAAGGGCAGTTTGGGCACGGGAATTTGAGTCGAGTGAATGAACGACGGGATGCGCTTTGAAGCGGTTTGGGGGGGCGAAGAAGAAGGAAATAATGCGCCCAGAAACAGTCGAACAGCTCAATCAAAATCTTTATCAACGAACAGCATTAGACGAAAAATTCTAGAGACCCCGGCATCTTATGTGGAGGATTCACGTGAATGACTTTCATTTGGGTTCATATGTGGGTTGTAAGGATATTCTTATCACCGAGTTTGAGTTGAATGCCTTGGATTTAAGCGAGAAACGTTTGGGGCAGTTCGTTCGTTTGCCTCACGCCGTGGTCTGAATCAGAAGTTACTCAGGAGACACGTGACGACTCCTCTAGAGATATCTGAAGTGGATACAATCTAATCCACCGTCCCATCCCCATGATTGCATTATCGAAGGTTGATTAATGTTGCTATGAGGGATGGATATTTATTGTAAAACTGTCCGATTTTTACCGAGAACTACGGTAGCGTTAGGAGTCGAGTAATTAGAAAGCTGACAATGCAGCAGATGATTACACTTCCGCATGCAAACAGCAAGCAAAATAATTACAGATGATAACACAGATAACATACCCATACAGGAAATTAATAAAACTTTTCTTTCTGTTAAGATTCAGGCGTTTACAGGGCTGTTTTTCTTTTCATCTCGGTTCTTTCCTTCAGTCTTTGTTGCGCTGATGAGTATCACTCTCTCTCCCCTTTCTTTATATTTTAAAACCCTCCTCAGGTCAGGTTTCAGACAGCTCTTGCATCTACCTCTGTTAGCCTCATCACTCTTGTATCTTTATAATGAAGGTAGACAAGGAATGCTCCCAAGCTATCGTTTATCTGAGTGGAGATTGTCCTAACAAAGCTGGAGCCGTTGTGTTTGTGTGAACCAGACATATCACAAACAGTTAGCTGATTATAACTTGGCTGTCTCGCTGTTTAGACTGTTGGTCTTTTTTTTTTTTTTTTAAGTATCCAGAAACCATAAGTTGTTAACCCTTAGGCTCGGTATTATATCGCAACCCTTGATTCCATGATAAATACCGTAAATCTGGAAGAAATGTGGCTTTTCTGCCTACCCCCGGGCGTTAATCAGGACCACAAGGAGTTCGTCACCCGGTCACCGCGCAGTCCGGTTTAGCCAACTACGCTAACGAGCCGGGCACTGTTGGTCTGTAAGCTAACATGTACTTATAACTGGTTCCCAGTTACCCGAGGCCTACCGACTACTTTTCGATGGTTTGCCACGGACTCCATAAGTTTTATAGTCCACTTTGCAAACTGGAGGAAAGTTCTGGTTGTTCGTCCATTGCTGGACTTTAGTCTTGGTCCAGAACATGACTTTTGTGTATACATCCGTTTTAAAGATCTGGCTTCATTCTATACATACTGTTGGTTCCTCGCCTGTCAGATAGCTGACTCTGATTGCGAAAGAAACACCTTAATTATCGCCTTTCACGACATGCTTTGTTAGGACACCGCAAACCACACGGGAAAAACTTATTATAATTTATGTATATTAGAACTGTAATAAAACATTGCATTCTAAAGTTGAGTTTTTAATGTCACGCATTATTCCACCGGTGTCGCCACATTGCTTGCCTAATCATGTACGTGGTCGGGTATGTAGTGGTTCTTTTCAAGGATCGCAACTTATGGATGACAGTAAAACCACGTTATAACAAGTACTAATTCTGGGCAGTCTCGCTCAGGAGCATTTATATTCCAGTCTTCGAGCAGCAGCAGCAGCAAATGTTGCATTAGCTGAAGATTATAATTGTGTGGCATCGATTTTAAAAAAAATTTACTGCTGTCTACTTTTGCTGCTCTTTTGTGTGTGTTAATCTGTGAGGTGGGGCCGCGAAACAAGCGTTCCTGTTCTGGTGGGCCGTGGGTGTAAACAGGTTGATAAACACTGCTCTACACAGCTGGCTACACTGTACCACTGTGGTCTTTGGAACAATTACGTGCTGAGATCCCTATATCTGCAACTTTCGTAATATGGATCGAAAAATACGAGAACAATTTTTTTAACGGGCCAGTACAGTAATCGAACCTTAGCACACGAGGGTCACGGAATTGTTAACCGCAGTTGCTAACTTCTAAGTCACTAGCAAGGTAATCTTTCATGATTCGTAGTATCCTTTGTACCTTCCTGACTTATGAACACACACACATGTACGCTTACACACACGTACGCACGCGCGCGCACACAAACTCTCTCTCTCTCCCCTCCCCCTCTCTCTCTCTCGACCTTGGCAACAAAGGGACTTATGAACGAGTGCGACTTCCGCAAAGAATTATGTTATACCTGAGATGCTCTGTGTCGATGGCAATGTGGATTTGTACTCAAGAATAAAACGGTTCTATACTACCTACTGTGGTTAAGTAGTGGATCTGACGTCTTGTGGTATGGGGTGAAAACGGAAACCTAGCAACAATCGTTTACAAGTTAGACAGGTTCAAAACCTCTGAACGGTTGAAAACCCTTATAGGCTGTACAGATTTACCGTCAGATGTTTTCCACCTGCTCTCACGAGCAGTGTTTGTGTGTATTTTCATTACGCCATAAATGTATTTAGACTTAATAGTTCTACAGATTTCGTTAACTGCCTTAAGATATACATGCGCATTCTATCAGAAGAGGCGGGTGTACTTTTGCAGGTACCCTTGGGGGGATGAAGGTGACCCTTTTCAAACTCGAACCAACCTGATTGCTGCCTTATCTCTGTTCGCCTGTATCTCCATTCCCTGGAGTCTGAGATACAGGGAGGCCAGGAAGTTGGTTCGGCATCGTTTGTTCCGGGATAAGTGCAGACATCTTTGGCGATAAGCGACGTGGTGCTGGCTCTTCTGAAATGCTGGGTTTGATGTTATCAGTGCCACCTATTTGGTGAATAGGGGGAGAGAAATCGGGAGGTAGACAACTGCTGCGATTCTTCTTCTTCTTTTCTTCTTCTTCTTCTTCTTCTTCTTCTTCTTCTTCTTCTTCTTCTTCTTCTTCTTCTTCTTCTTCTGCTGCTACTGCTGCTGCTGCTGCTGCTGCTTCTGCTGCTGCTGCTGCTGCTGCTTCTTCTTCTTCTTCTTCTTCTTCTTCTTCTTCTTCTTCTTCTTCTTCTTCTTCTTCTTCTTCTTCTTCTTCTTCGTCTGCTTCTTCTTCTTCTTCTTCTTCTTCTTCTTCTTCTTCTTCTTCTTCTTCTTCTTCTCTTCTTCTTCTTTTTTTCTTCTTCTTCTTCTTCTCTTCTTCTTCTTCTTCTTCTTCTTCTTCTTCTTCTTCTTCTTCTTCTTCTTCTTCTTCTTCTTCTTCTTCTTCTCTTCTTCTTCTTCCTCTTTTTCTTCTTCGTTTCCTTTACTCCTCCTCCTTCTCCTCGTCTTTCTTCCTTTTTTCATTCTCCTCCTCCCCCGCATTATTCTTGTAGTCCTTTAATCGCCTAAAAGTTCAGTTGGCACGTGGCTAAGTGGTTTGAACATAAGCGGTGTTATCTACAGCTTTTGGCCCAGCTCTTCCGATTTCAACAGACCCTGAATTAATCACGTTTACGACATGCGATGACTCGCTGAGTTTGTCTACCCCCTCACCTCCTCCTCCCTGCTAAAATGGGGCACAGGAACCCATACTGCGAGCGAGTTGTCTTGTCTTGTCTGTCCCCATTTGTGTGAAGATCGCCTCCCTTAGCCGTTGGGACTGGTCATAGGCCACGCATATTTTTTCTAAATTCACATCAGTGACTACATCCCTTGTGTTACTGGTGATCGGAGCCTGCATTTTCGAATACGATAAATTCGTAGTTTAATCGTTTTACCTCAAACAGACCCCCCACCCTTCCACCACCCCCCCCCCCACTTCTCCCACCCCCCCACACTCTTCCACCACCCCACCCCATTTTCCCACCCCCACACTCTTCCACCACCCCGCCCCTTCCACCAAGAAACAATGACGTAGAAGGTGACTAATGATTATGTCCTTCGAAGTCGAGTCGCATCCACCTGGGAGGCGAGGAACCAACAGTCTGCATACAAATAAACCAGATCTGTAAAGTTGATTTGCACGCACAACTCAAGTTCTGAAACAAGACCAAAGTCCAGAAGTGGATGAACAACCAGCACTTTACGCCGGAGTTTACAGCCGGGGACGCTAAGAAGAAGGAGGAGAAATCGTTTCCGTTCCACTCTAAAATCTCACCTAAATTAGTGCTGGAACCTCAGCCCCTAAGACCTTGTCGTGAATACATCAAACGTATTCAACAGAACTAATTGTATCAAGAAGGAAACTGTATTTGTCTGAGAACTCCACCTGACGAATGCCGGCGATTAGTGAGCCGATGTAACGGGGAGCGGCAACCATCGCTAGTGCGTTGCTAAGTCAATGTGCATGCAGCGAGTTTCTTAAACCCCGGCAGGGCTGCCGAAATTATTTTGAGAATATTGCCATATTGTCTAAAATGTACTAAAAGAGTCTAAAAGTTACCAGATTTTAAATTGTTCATTTAAAAACACAAAAACCTTAACATGTCTTCGAAACCTATAGATGGCGAATCTTGTGTTTGATTATAATTGAAATTCTTTGTTCATAATTGCTGTACCACACCCTCCCCTCCCCCATCCTCTCAGTTTGTTACAAAGCTGT